TCACAGCTGATGTGACAGCGACTAGTCCTGGTGCCCAGAAGATGTGCACTAATGAAGTCAAGTGCTGTTCATCTCCTTGGCTAAGCCGTATGAAGGGTCCAGGCTGTCTGCTCTGTGGGAGGTGGGCTTTGATGGGAAGAGAAGGGAAATGGCCTCATCAGGGCAGGTGGAAAGGCTTGGGCCACCCACAGAGTCCACAGGGACACTGTGGCAGGGTTAGGGGAGGAGGTGGCTCCGCACATGCTAATCCAGGGACGGGCTCAATTGTGCAGAACCCATGGGTTCCTGGCTCTCAGTTCCTATGTCATTGGTACTTGCGGGGGACATCTCTTTTCTCCCCAACTCAGGGTCCTCCTGCAATGCCCTGCTCAGTATGGCTGTCAGAGGGTCCCACAGGCTATTTCCACTTTCACTTCCCACCAGGAAGTAGATGACGGGGTTGGCACTGCTGCCCAGGGCTGAGGTGCATTGGATCAAGTAATATAACACAGCATTATACCAAGGAGACAGTATTGGGAACCTGATCCTGAGCGTCCAGTAGATGCCATAGGGCAGAGAACAGACCACAAACACCAGGACTGAGACCAGGATGATCACACACAGCCTGGAGGATCGCCGGCGCCACACGCGGGGTCTTCTCAGGGTCTGCACAGAGAGGACGACACTGGAGAGGATCATCACAGGTGTGAAGACCCCCAGAAAGAGAATGCTAAGGAAAGTTAGTATCGTTCTATATTGCTGACTGTGACCATGTGTCGTAACAAAAACAAAGTAAACTATCATTGAGATAACCAGGAGATTCAGCCCCCAGACCAGGGTGCACACCACGGTGGACAGGTGTCGGGGTCTGCGGACCTTGTACCAGATGGGGAAGAGGACAGACAGACAGCGCTGGACGCTGATGGTGGTCAAGAAGCTCAGGCTGGTAATGTATGCAAATATCTTCACACTGCTGAAGGCAGCAATTATTACCCAGTTCAGGTGGAAATATTCTGCATATTCCTTAATGAACAGGCAGAGGAGGAAGAGGAAGTCAGCCACCGCCAGGTTGAGGACGTAGACAGAGAAGGGGTTCCTCTGCCCGCGGAAGCCCAGCAGCCAGATGACCACACCATTGCCCACCATCCCACACACGCAGGTGAGCAGGGTCAGGACCTGGAGCACTAGAAAGGCCATGCTCCAAGCGTCCATCGTGGGGCTGCGCTGGGTCAGGTCTGCGGTCTCACTGTGGTTCAGGGTCTGGTTTGTCCCTAAGGAAAGAAGGCAGATCAACATGAATGTCTGCGCTGTGGGAACCAGGCTGTTCCCGCACA